AAAACACAAAGATAAAACAGAATCTTGAAAGCAGCTACGGAAAAGAGAAGTGTAACATACAAAGGCAAGCAAATCAGATTAAGCTCGGAGCTCTCAGCAGAAACTATGCAGGCAAGAAAGCAATGGGGAGACATATATAAAACCCTGAAAGAAAAACTGAACCAAGAATCTTCTACCCAGCAAAACTATCAATCAAATATGGTGGTGTAATGAAAACATACCAGGATAAACAGAAGCTAAGGGATTTTGCCAAAGCCAAACGGGCGATGAAAAACATCCTAAGGAGATTTCTGTGGACTGAGAACCAACAAGAACAGACAAAAACCAGAGATTGACATACGTGGCAGCACCACTTGAATTCAATCAACAAATGGAAGAGTTGAGACCAGAACAAAACTATAAGCACAAATTCAGAGGATCTGGGAGGTTAGTCTATGAACAAAACAATTACAATGTGAAAGAAAGTAAACACGTAGGAACAGAGGTCCGGGTGATGAGAAGGTCAGGTAGATTATAGAATAAAACAGACTGTCTTGAATGGAGGGAAAAGTTAATGGAATATAAGGTAACCACACAGTGGGGTTAGGTTGGGGGATTTAGGGGAGGTGGAGGGAGGTGACAGTAGAGAACAGGATAAGGGCAGACACATCATAGTCCGGGTGCTGGGAAGGGCAATACGAGAAGGGGATGGATGCAGAAGAACAAGGTAAATAGGAGAACACTGAGAAAGGTTTGCATGGGCTAAGTGGGACAGTGGTAAATAGTGATGCATGCTCAACCTTGAACAATAGGACTCTGTGATACAGATATCTAGGCATAGTTTGAAGAGAGGAAATAATACTAAGATGCTTGACTGTCTTCTGAATATTGGTTTCCCTTGCCTACTATTATAAAATAAGACACTTGAGTGGGATAGAAAGGAATGTTGGGAAACATGATTACAGAAAACTTGTAAGCCTGTCTTCATCCTATGATTGACTGGAATACCTAAAAGGGGTTCTAGAACTTGCCCAGTGAAATAGACCTCTTGCAAAATCTTTGCAGAGTATAGGACCTTAGGTGGAATCCTGAGTCCCATCCAGAACCTTCTGAGGTGGAAAATTTCCCACTAGAGAGGGCAAGCAGACTAACATGGAAGAGAGAGTGACAGAAGATACATCTTCAAAGAAAAGATCATCAGGAAAAACCCAAGACAAAAATGTCAGTATGACTGGCTACTACAACAATAAGCAAGCTGTTCACCTGGAAGCCATCAAGGCAAGCAATCAAGTTCCTTCAGGACAAACTCCCCTCTAAGACTGAAACTCAAAGCAACACATGAGTAGGCATGTAAGCTTGCTGGTGGCCATGTTGGTCTACCGGTGAGAGGAAGAGGGGGAAAGGCAGCAATGAAGAAATGGGCTGAGTTCAACCACAGTCCATTGACTACCGTTAACCTGGAGATGAGAAAGAGAAGAGGAAGGGCTAGTTGGTCCAAAGTGTGGTGAAACCTGGGGACTCCTGAGCCCATGGACAAGGGCATAGCCACAAAGGGCTAGAGCTGAGAGTGAAGCATCCAGCTGAAAGGAAATGAGGGGAGACGCACAAGAATACCCAAACTTGCAGATAGTACCCATTTGACCTAGCCTCGATGGCTTGAGGCAGACTTGCAGAATGTGCCCTTTGGTGGTGTTTATTATTATATATTCCTGAATGTTTTTTAAAAAAATAGCTAAAGTGAATAAAAATACTATTAACCAATGGTACATGGAGGGGATTGTAATCACTGTAATGAAACAAGTTGTATGATCTGTTGAATGTAAAACTTATGATCTGCTCTGTAAGCTTTCACTCAATCCACAATAAATGACTTAAAAAAAAATCGTAACAGAGCATAGTTCTACTCTGATGCGCATGGAGTGCCAACCCCTCCAAAAATAAAGAAAGAAAATAGTAAACCAATGGTTGTAGGGGTTTTAGGTCACATGGTAATAGAGAATTTGAGAACAGATGGAAGAAAATGAGGGATTTGGTAAGGAGTTTCATTTAGCAATTTTAGACAATGTAGAATTAAAAAAAATATATATCCTTTTCTTTCAGTAATAATGAAGTTAAACTCTGTCACAAACATAAAAGGGTAAGCTTATATATTAACATACTGTGCCCATTAGCTATGTCTGTCAAGTCTAATACCTCGCCAATGGTTCCGGTAACATACTGATCGATAGCATTAGAGATTTCTGCTCTCTTCACTCCAGTTTTAAACTTCATGGACAGCACTCGTGGATGATGTCTAAGCCACCAGTAGTTAGCCTTATCCCCTGCTAGGCGTGTGCAGTGAATCCGAGACTGCTGTCCTGCTCCAATGCCAATAACCTGGAGAACACAAGACATTAAACCCAATGCCTCTTCTAACAACACACTTTTCTCAACGGAGCTTTTGTACACATTCTTTAAAATCTATTAAACAATACTGAATAAAAAAAATATCAAGCCAAAATCAGAAAAAAAGGACTATTTTAAAGCCATTAAAAGGTGAGGGTCAACAGCTTGCATTTTAACATTTTATATATATATTATGTTAATAACATGCCTGTTAATGTTCAGGAAATTTCCAGAATGCAATGAAGTGTTTGTATTAGTGATGGTCTTAGAACCCACTTCTAATAGTCGTAGAATTTATAATTAAGAGAAAAAGAAGAGCAACAACTATAAACCACAAAGGTATCTGACAGGCCCCGCTCAGTCTACAATTTACAGGTAAATACTCATTTTCTCATCCATACTGATACACCGATCTAACTAGGCTATCCTAGTGTCAAATATGCTAAGAGACACACTGTATCTTTTCTTCCTTTCATTCAATGGGTTGGATTTTAAGAATAATTTCCTTGATGTACAAGTATTTTCTGGGTTTTGTTTCTATAATTAGCAAACACATGTGCAGCATGCTCTTTTGAATGTTCAGAGTGAAGCACTGGTTTCACATGACTTTATCAGAACCCATTGGAACCCAGCTCCCATTCTGTTACTTCAGAGACTGGGGAAGCTTTATCAGGTGGGCTCTCACAAAATGTGGAAATGTCTTGCAGGACAGACTAAAATCGATACACCCTCTCCCCGACTGGTGAGCCAAATTACTAAACAAATGCAAGGTAAGAGCTCATGGAGTAAACAGAACTCTGTAGATACTGGAAGAAAGGGGTCTGAGCTAGATTCGCTGACTAAATCCTCCAGTTAGGGCAGGTCTCCGTGGTGAACTGGCACAAGCCTGTACTCAACACCTTAATGCAGAAATATTCAGTATCCCAATGGCAGTAGTGGCCACACTACTGTATAACTGACAAATCTCTTCAAACTTTACTCTTAGAAAATGGGAAAATTTAACTCTCTAAAAGGTGAAGCCCATCTCAATTATCCTGACTGAAAGGAGACCGTGTTAATACCTTGTCTAGCAGCATTCCACTCAATGGATTCTTGAATTAACATGAGAATATTCAGAAGGCTGCATAAATATAAACTGGTGGCTAGCAGTAATGTTCCTTTCCCACTGGAGATACACCACCAGTGGGACAAAAGAAACCAGTTTTGCAACAGCTATTTCTGTTGTTGTTAGGGACCGTCGAATTGGTTCCGGCTCAGTGGTCCTACGCACTGAAGCCTAAAGCCCTGCCTGGTCCTGCATCCTCGCAGCTGTTGTCACGTTTCAGTCCGTTGCTGTAGCCACTCTGTCCATCCTTCTCGTTGGGAAAACTATTAGATACCTCCTCCTCCAAAATGTGCCAACTCATTCTAGGCAAGACCCAACGTGACTGGGTCTTGCCTAGTTCCAAAGCTACTTTCCAATCATCATCAGTTTTAACACTCCACACCAAGTTGCTGAGTAAATTCTGGTAGACCCAGATGAGACATAGTTGGCAAACTTTCCCTTTCAAACTTCCCAGTACCTGAAGCAGCTGGATTTTGGAATATCATTTTGTAAAACAATAGTCCCTTTGAGGTGCGTTTGACAGCTTGGTTACCTGACCGTTCTTGGCATAGCACACAGAATTGGACTGAGTGTACTTGACAGCGATGGTGGAGACGATGAGGTCCCTGCACGCAGACTCTGGCAGCTGAAACAAACACAGCAGGCTTTTTAGACATCTTCTAACTTCAAGGACCTCTTAGGCGATTTAATGTAAGAGGCCTGTTAATGTACTCACATCTCTCAAATGGCAGAACGAAATGAACTGTCCATGCTACAAAGCACCATGTTTTATGAAAAGGGTCCAGATGAGGCAGCCTGTTTCCGTAAAGACTGACCATCTCAGAAGCCCTACGGAGGAGTTCTACACTGTCCTACAGGGTCACGATGGGTCAGAACTCACTCCACGCCAATGGGGTTGCTGTGGGGGGTTTTGTTTTTCCTTTTCTTTTTTTGTGAAACATAGTACAATGCCTACTAGATTCATACCAACTCTACTCTTCAGCAACTCTGGATTAGGCTACAAATGCCTGTTCACATAATACACTAGATCTGAAACACCATTATCTGGTCCAGGATGATACATAATATCTTTTCTACCATCGTACAGGAAAATACCTGCAGACACGATAAAACCCACATTCAGGAAAATCACTGAAGATAATTTTCAAAGATATTAAAACAGTTGTGATGTACACACACCACTAATTCTCTTATTTGTGCTCTAGAAACTGCGTTTGGAAATAAAGCAAACTGATAAATCAACTAATTGAAACAGTACTTATATAATTCATCTAGATAAAAAATTTTCGCTTTGGGAAGGATTTGGGATAAAAGGATGAAGAGACAAGGCAGGTAGCAGAAGAAAATATTTATCAACCACACTATTTAAAAAAAAAAAAACTCAATAAAAAACCTAGATAAAATAAGACTGAGGAATTCGCACTGACCGCCTAAGACAGGCAGCGTCGTCCCTTAAACAAACAATAAATAAGGAGGAATCTGATGTGATGCAGACCGTGCAGACCCGGTCAGGAGGTCAAGCCCCTGTGGGCCCAAGCGTTGTTGACTGTCCAAACCATAGGCTCTGAGGGTCAGACTTTAGCTACCTAGTAGACATAGCAAACTGTCCCTCATCTGATTATTCAGTAATGCTTGTTAGTAATCTCATACATGAGCCCTGGATATCCACAGACAAATGTAAAAACCTTCCCTAAAAGCCGAGACTGTAAATTCCAAAAAGGCAAGTCCCCCCACATCCAAAAAAAAAAGCTAAAGAGGATAGAGAGAAACACTGTTAACTGATGATATATGGAGGGGATAATAATCAATGTAATGAAACAAGCTATATGAATGGTTGAATGTGAAGCTGATGATGTGCCCTGTAAACTTTCACTCAATCCAAAATAAAAACATTTAATAAAAAACAAAAAAAAAAAAACCTAGATAAAAATAAAAAACAATAAAAAAAATCTAAACTCAACAATAAAAAATCAAACCTCCAGGTAGAAAATGAACAAAGGACGTAAGGACTGCCACATTGTTTCCCCACGGAGTGGCTGGTGGATTCGAACAACTGACCTTTCAGTTAGCAACACAAAACTTAACTAATGCTGCCACTAGGGTTCCTTGAAAGGAACGTTATCAATAACAAATAATCCCATAAAATATTTAACATTTATATATCAGGTACATAACAATGAGACATTACTAAACATTCTTACAGAATTTCTAAAATAAGATTAAAAAGTGACAATATCAAAAGCTGACATGGATGCAGAGAAACTGGATCATTTGTGCAATGCTGGTATTAATAATATAAAATAGCACATAGCCATTTTGGAACTAGCCTCAGTTTCTTACAGAGCTAAACGTACCAATACCATACTACTCAATAATTGTATGACAATGAAAACCTATGTTCACCCCCAAATCTGTACATGAATGTAATTGGCTTTACTCCTAACAGCCCCAAACTACAGCCCCAAACATCCTTCAATGGGCACATGGTTAAACAGACTGTGGCAAATTCATACTATGGACTATTATTCATCCACAAAAAGGAAATCAACTATCGATACAGTCAACAATGGAGTCCTGGTGTGGCACTGTGGGTTAATGCACTGAACTGCAGTCGGCTTGAGCTACAATGTTGGTGGTTCAAGCTCACCAGCTGTTCCTCAGAAACTCTATACAGGGTTGCTATGGGTCAGAAATGACTCGACGGCACGTAACAACAACAGTCAACAATTGGATGAATCTCCAAAGAACTGTGCTAAGTGAATGAAGTCATTCTCAAAAGATTTACAAGGTGTTAACTTAACTCCATTTATACAACATCCCCGAAATGATAAAATTATAGATGCAGATACAAGATTAGGGGTTGCCAAGGGTTAAGGAACAGACAGGAAAGGAGGGAAGGAAACAGCTATAAAAGACGGATGGATGCTGTGGAGCTGGAAAAATGTTCTACATCCTGACTATCATCAGTGTTTAGTCTCATTGTGATATTATGCTATAATTTTACAAATGTCATTAACATGAAAAGGTGTTAGGTGCTGTTGAACAGGTTCTGACTCTAGGCCCAACACACTGACTGTGACATGGTACTTCCTCAAAAACCTCAGTCCTAGTAAATATCCCAATGAAACAAGAGCTGGGCTCTTGTGCACACAGACATGTGCACCTCCACGTTCCCTGCAACATTAGTTACCACAGCAAAATAATGGAAACAACCCATGTCCTTCAACCAATGAATGGATAAACTGTGGTACACATACAGAAAAGGAATACCCAATGTTAAAGGATAAAGACACACCCGTGAAGCATCTCTCAATGATGAAACTGGAGGACAATATCCTGAGTAAAACTGTCAGTCACAAAAGGACAAAGATGGAATAAGACTACTACTATAAAAAGTCGAGATAAAGGTTTACAAACATAAATTAACATTCCTGGATGGTTAGCAGGGATGGGAGGGAGCCATCACCAGAAAGCTGACAAATGCTAATTTTGGTGAAGGGAAAGATATGACACAATATGGGGGAAGTCAGCACAACCCAACTGTGGCACTGTGACTTTATTATGGGATATGGCTTTTCTATCCAAAATCTTAACTCCTACCAAATGACTGAGTGAGACAGTGTGTGTAGGACTTTAACCGTGAGACTGGCTAGTTTTCCCATCTCATTAGATTGAAAAGAAACCATCTCAGAAGCAGGGAGATGATTCAAGGATCAAGAAAAGAAGAGCCAAGAGTGGAGTGTGAGTCCCTCCTAGAAAAGTGTTGGGGACGTGGAGGCATTCAACTGTAGTGCGGTTCCAGGCCCGTAGACCCAGGAAAGCTAAGTGCCTTCAGGCAGGAGGGTGGCTTGCAGAATGTGCTCTTTGGGCATTTATAGACTGGTTAAGGAGCTTTATAACCTTTGCCCAAGCAGGACAGAGGCTGAGGGAGCCATATGGCTGTGAGGCCAAATATAAGAGCAAGGTGTATCTGCAGTACAGACCACCAGTTACCACCACTGATCACAGACCAGGATCACAACAGACAGTACAGAGAGAGTGGGACAAAGAAGGAGGACAAAACTCAAACTCAAGAAGGCTAAAAGCACAATTAAGACGGCAGTAAGGGGCTGGAAACTGGGGGAACGGCAATGTGGAGTGCTGCCTACTGTGAGGATGGCAGTCAGGGTCACGGACCCATCTGGGGACAAGCGGCTGGTGCGCTGTCATCTTCACAAAAATCTTCATGGTATTTCTTTAAAATGTTGTCATGAAGGGAAATGGGAAAAGGGGGCAGGGACTTCTTACAAATGCAAGTGATTCTACCATTATCAATTTAAGAACTTGAAGTAAAAAAAATAACCCCAACAAGGTGATGTTAATATAGTATATCCTTTCCTACCGGTATCTGCTGCTTGAATCACCAACAATAAATTTTATTCCTTTGTTTCCAAGAAAAGATTAATAACCAAAGTCTCCTTGTTTCAAATATAACCTTGGTATCCAAGGTCTATGGAAACACTTAGGGGTGGGGGGAACCCATTCTTATGAACATGACATAAACAACTAAAAGCATCGGTCAAGAAGTAAATGCCAATAATTCAAGCATGTTCAGTATGATACACACTCGTTTCCCGCCTCCTGCTCTTTCAAGACTCCAACTATTCCAGACCTAACTGGACAACTTGGTGCTTTCTAGGTTACATCAGGGTGGTGTAACGGAGCTCTGGTAGCGTAGTGGTTACGAATCGGACTGCTAATCTCACAGTCAGTAGTTCAAAACTACCAGCTGTTCCAAGGGAGAAAGAGAAGGCTTTCTGCTCCCGTAAAGATTTACAGCCTCAGAAACTCTATGCAGGGTCGCTATGAGTTGGAACCGACTCCTCAGCACATAACAACAGGTTGGATCAGCAATGGACCACAAGGTTGGCAATTCAAACTTACCACTGGCTCCTCAGAAACCCTATACAGGGAAGCAACCCTGAGTTGGAACCGACCTAACAGCACTTAACAACAGGTTGGAATCTTACTAACAATCTACCTTAAATGGGGGACAGCATGGGAAAAGATCTGAATATAAAGGATGATACAGCGCTCTGCTCGTCCTTGCTTATTTACCCAGTGGTGGTGGTGTTGCTCCTACAAATACCAAAGTCTGCCTCCTTACAAAGACTGTTATTGCTTAGTGCTGTCGAGTTGGTTCTGACTCATAGGACCCTGTATAGGATTTCCAAGGAGCAGCTGGTGGGTGTGAATTGCAGGCCTCGTGGTTCACAGTCCAATGCTGAGCCTACATTACCTTGCAAACCCTGTGGGGAAATCCTACTTCGAGTCAGAATCAACTTCTTTGTGGTCACCATTTTCAAAGATATAAACGAAAGACGATCCACGATATGATCAAAGTAAAGTAGCACATGCTTTTCACTGTTTGTGATTAATAGATGGAACTACCTGATACAGATTTTAACAGCTATTTTCAAAAATTCTACTTCATAGGGACAGGAGTCAAACCTAGGAACAAATCCCAGCTTCTCACTTTCCACTTCTATTACAGTGAAATGGCTTGTTAGGAGACCTGCCCTGTGGGCAGGAACAAACAGAGAAGCTAGACAGAGTGAATAGGATAGCAAATACTTGGGCAAAGACTTCAGAAATATACTTCTTGTCATGATGAAGATGGCCTGCACGTCCCCGACTGCCTCAGAAGCTCTCTCTGGAGGATGAACTACCAAGACCCTCTGCAGTTCTTCACACACAAGTGTCCAGCATTCAACCACAAACCACCAAGCCAAGCGGCAGTCAGACCCTAAGACAATGAATGAGTGACACCTTCAAAATGCAGAGCAATAATACAAGCCAATTTCAGACCCAGCAGAAATATCCTTCAAAGTTGAGGACCCTATGAGGACATCGATTTCCACATTGTGTAACTTTGGGCAAATTTCTTAAATATTCTCTATTGCAAAGTGTTCTGATTTTACAGCAGAGATAATAGTTACCATTACAGGGTGACCAGTGGATTACTAGAGATTGTTGTTGAAGTGCCATCAAGTTGGTTCAGACTATAGCAATCCTGTATAGGGTTTTCCAAGGAGTGGCTGGTGAGCTTGAACCCACAGCCTTGCAGTTGAAACCAACTTTGAAGTCCAGTGCATTAATCCAAAACACCATACCAGGTGGATTACTATAGATAATACATATAAACAATCAATACCATTTTTATTTTAACAATATGTCATCCTTCCTGTTGTTAACTGCCTTAAGTCGGTTCTACTCATAGCAACCCCATATAAGGTTTCTGTGGAGCAACTGATGGGTTTGAACCATCGACCTTGAGGGTAGCATTCCAGTTCTTATCATACAAATAGCACAAATGCAAAGCCAGGACTACACAAAAACTTCGATCCAAATAAATGGAAACATCAGTATCCATCTTAATACATGTACACACAGACTGCCTTCTCCTTTCCAGGATGTGAGACTCTATGGTTACAGTCAGCTTGTTGTTAAGCACAGTGAAGTCGGAAGCACTGTGACATCAGTTTTGACTCAGCACCCTGTATAAGGTTTCTGAGGCTCTAAATCTTTTGCTGAAGAAGAAAACCTCATCTTTCTTCCATGGAGAGGCTGAAGGGTTTGAACCACTGACCTTTTGGTTTGCAGCCCAGTGTTCCTATCCTATGGAGTCATGCGCTCCCTGTAGCTTAGTGCATGGAAACAGGACAAGTTACAGAGCAGAATTATAGAAGACAAGGTCTCAGTTCTGTATAACAGAGACAGAATGTGTATGTTCAAAGGCTAAAGCTCGCAATGGGTTTTCTACACTTTTTTTTTAAGTACTCTGGCTTACCTGGCAACTCACAGATAAACTAGTCCATTTGCATATTGATCAGTTCTAAATGTGAACCCTAATCTGTGTATGGAGTCCTACTGTGGCACTATAGGATAAGCACTGGACAATTAACCTCAAGTTAGGCAGTTCAAACCTATGAAGTGCTCCTTGGAAACCCTAGATAAGTCACTATGAGTCAGAACGGACTCGACAGCACTGAACATCCAGTGCATACCTGGAAATGATTGTAAACAGACCTACTACAGTTATTAGTATCCAGCTCGAATACTCTGAAAACTTACATCTTTATTCTTGGTAACAACATTGCTAAACAAAGACCCATCGATGACACCATTGTTTCTCTTCTGGCTTAAACGAAGACCAAAGAGAGTTCGAACTTCATCTTCATCTGGTTTGTAAGACTGGTCCATCTAAGAAACAAATTTTAAAAGTTAAAAGTACTACATTCACATCTCTCAACTATAAACAATTATGAATAGGGTTATGCATCAGACCCACAGTTAAAGGGAAATCATACAGATGTCAAGACTCCATGATCACAATACAAACGCAAAGTTTTCTTTGAAATATTTGTCCCCCTTTTTACTTTATGTACTTATTTTCGAAGGAGGGCAAGCACTATAAACTTCATCTAAAAATGGAAATCTACCAAGAATAGCCAAGGACATTTAAAAGTGCATACAAATACTTTATTGTCAGCAATAGAAAGGATAAGTAAATTATGATACCCTATGTAAAGGAATGCCACACAGCAATGAGACTCAGTGAGCTACAAGTACACCCAATAACATGGTGTATTTCACAAAGAAAAGGATCAACCAAAGAAGCCAGGTACAAAAAGAATGCATACAATGTGGCGACTGGGACCCTCTTACACTGCTGGTGGGATGCACGATGGTGCAGACACTGTGGAAAATGGTTTCTCAAACCTGAGCTGTAGAACAACTACCGTATTAGCCAGCAATCCCTCTCCTTGATACATATACAAAAGCTGTGACCCTAGATCTAGGCACTACTCACAACAGCAAACTCATAGACACAGCCTACATGCCTATCGACAGAAGAATGGCTAAGCCAACTTTGAATGTTACACAATCTTCCAGAACAGTAAAGCGTCTGCAAAACACCTCACAACATGGATGAAGCTGGAGTTCATTATTATATTGAATGGAATTAGTCAAACGCAAAAGGACAAATACTGCATGACACCACTGTGGTCAAAAATTATGGAGTAGATTGTAATGACTGTAATGATACGAATGTGGGACTGCTGATCTCTTCTGGAAACCTCACTCAACTCACAATAAAATCAACCAACAAAAGAAACCCCACAATGGTACTAACATTTTAGTAAAAAATACACAGAATATAAGACAACTTTGTGTTGACGCAATTCCATCCAAGAGTAAAGTATAAGCAAAACATGTTTTAGGTCAGTGAGGAAGCGTGCTTTCACTGTATAATAAAAATCAGGACAACTGAGATAATCAGGGGGAAAAACAAACCAACCAACCCCTGGATTCATGCCATATACCTGAGCAAAGGGTTTAAGTAAAAACTTAAATATCAAAAAACAAATTTACAGTACTAGAAGTACCAAAAAAAATCATGGTTTAAAAACGCAAAATGTAAAAGGCTTCATAGCAAGACCAGAAAGCCACATGTGCTGAGAGACTGAGTCAATTCTGTATCTACCGTGTTGTAGGATGCCACCAAGCTGATCCCACTCACAGCAATGTCACATTGACAAGGAAGACTGGCTCTGTGTGGTCTCCCTGGGCTGTAATACTCACAGGTGTAGATTGCCAAGGTCTTTTTTTCCTAAAAGCAGCTGGTAGGTTCGAACCACAAACCTTTTAGCTAGCAGCTGAGCACTTAATCACAGTGCCACCAAGGCTTCTAAATCTACCATAAGCAGTCTCTACAGAGTAGGAAAATTGAGGAAAATATTTGTATTTTGTACATTACACTGTGAGAAAAAAGTTTCAACATGAAAAAAAAAACAAAAAACAAAAAAAACACAACAACAAGAAGCAAAGAATATATGGACAAGACAGTTCACAAAAAGGAAATACAGTCAAATGTGAAAAGATGTTCACCTTGCTGGTAATGAGAAATTAAAAGCTATGATGAGATGCCATTTTCATTTATCTAACTGCCAAATTGACAATGTTTAACATAGCAATGGCAACGGTAGTGGGAAACGGGCATCCTTTGGCATGCCCACTGGGACATTAAATTTGTTGTACAACCTCTTAGAGGAGCAGTGCCTATAAAATTATCCAATGCACATCCCCTGTAACCCAGTAACGCCACTCCCAGGCCTTTTCTTCTGGGCTGTTTACGATAGGGGTGTGTGTAACAGCTGAATACTGATGACAAACTACACAGTCTACGCATGGACAAACTTACAAGACTGTGCAGTATGTACTTCTGTAGGAAAAGGAAAACTAGCATTTGCTGAGCACGTACAGACTTTCAGGAATGAGGACAAACAAATTCACAGCAGTAATTACCTATAAAAAAGGCAAGCGGGTGGCAGGATGGCTGAGGGAGGCTTTTCACCACACTACTTTTAACACACACTGAAAGAGACCCCATGGAGATGCACCACTCATTTAAAAGTACATGTTTATAAAAAATTAAGGATAAAGAAGCGGTTTTAAAGCCAAAATTAACAATACTGCTGTTGTTACTGTCAAATTAGTTTAGACTCATAGTGATCCTATCTAGAGTTTCTAAGAAGTGGCTGCTGGGTTTGAACTGCCAACCTTATGGTTAGCCTTCCAGTGTTTACAGCACCACAGCAGGACTCCAATAATAAAATAGCTGGATCAAATTAAGTAAGATTAAACAGTCCCAACATGGCGCTGTAAGATAAGCACTAGACTACAAGGTCAGTTTGAACCGCTGAAAAGGTAAGCAGCGGTTCAACTCTCACCAGCCAATCCTCGGAAACCCTATGCAGGATTGCTATGGGTCAGAACCGATTTGACGGTACTTCAAAAACAAGGACTAAGAAACTTCAATAAACACAGACACACATCTCGAGATGGGTACCACATAAAGGAGAGTGACTTCACATGGGGTAAAAGTGACACAAAATATTAAGAGCAAATAACTGCTTCAAACACAAGCTGCACTAACCTGGAGAACACAATAGTTTCCATTTTTCTTTTTAGAAAGAATTTTCAAGGCTTCTTCTTCGTATCCTGGGGCAATAATGCCATCAGATACCTGTAAATGTGTTAAAAATTAGTTCAATTCTATTAAAAGAAGAAGAAAAAAAAGTTAGAACCCCTCTGATAACCCTAGCAATTATCTGTCTTTAAATAACATAGCAACAATTTTTGGTTCTACCGTCAATTGAATATTCTGTAATTCTTTAATATTGCTTTAACACTTTCTCAGGAAGAAAAATTGTTCTTATTCCCTTCATGAGGGATTTTGTACTAGAAAGGGTACGTTCTAGTCCCACCCAGCTCAGTCAGTTCTGGCTCAGTGGCCTGAGTAAGTCAAGTTACTTACTCTGCAGCAAGACAAAGGGATTAGATGAAACTATCTTATCTCTAAGGATGCAAATGCCACAAAGCCTCACATTCAAGAAGCCTTGCTGTACCCATTAAGTCCACAAGCTAGCTCTGTGACTGGGACAGTCATGTTCATGTGAAGGATAACCACCACCACCACAAATTACAAAAACCTTATGTGAATAATTCCTAAAGCAGATATCATCACACCACACACTCATTCAGCTCTTTCCTGGCCCTCCACAGTGAAGTGATTTGAGCCACCTTCTTTTTCCCTTCGCTTTCTGTCTGTACCCCTTGCCCCACCCTCTGCCTTTTTGGAATGCTTGTTTGTTTGATTTTCAACTGATTAGAGTCATTTATTATTTCCCCCTTACACAGTCTCTTCCAGGAGCCCTGGTGGCGTAGTTGTTATGGCTTGGACCGCTAACTGCAAAGTCAGCAGTTAGAATCTACAGTCGTTTAAAGGGAGAAAGATGAGGCTGTAAGAAAGAGAAAGATTTACAGCCTCGGAAACAGGGTCACTATGAGGGTCACTACGCAGGGTCACTATGAGTTAGAATTGCCTCTTCCACTGAGAACCTATGAAGGTTTACAGTAAGGTTCCATCACCATCCAAGCTGGCATTCTTGGCTCTGCTCTGAGTAAACAGTCATCTTAGCATTAAGATAATAACTACAAAAGCATCTGAAGAACATGAAAACACTTAAAGTTATCCAAACAGCCAAATTTAAACTTAAAGCCATTGATTTACTAAGTGTCAAGATTATAATTACATTTAAAATTTTATGTCATACAATATATGAACACTCGAAATGAGAAACTTCATTAAACCTGACATGGGTACAAATGTAATTATTGTCGTTTATGGTTTCTATGAACAGTGAAGCGAAATCTTACTCAGTTATTTCATGTTGTCATTGGAATGACCCCATGAGACAAAGTAGAACTGCCCCATGGGGTTTTCTAGGTTGTAATTTTATGGAAGAAGAATGTCAGCTTTAACCATGGCGCTTCTTATATGTGGATCGAAAGACATGAATGTCCACTAACCTCTCTGGAGATAATTTTGGCAGTAGGGACATCACAAACATCAGATAATGCAACAAAATCACCAAATGAAGACATTCTATCAGCCCCTATAAATAAATAAAAATTAAAATAAGCTGATTACAAAATATCCTCAAGAAAAAAAGATGCTTTAAAATCCCAGTGGGATCCTATAGAACCTATTTCTCTATCTCCAACTGTACTATTTACTTAATGCTGTAAAGTAACAGATAGTAAGTTATATAACTGAAGTAATCAGTGAAAAAAGTATTTTACAGCAAAATCAGCATTTTTTTAAATTAACTTTGTAGGCTTCGCAGGCGGTATGTCCCTATTGCAGCTACTCAACTACACAGTCATAGTACAAAAGCAGCCACTGACAGTACAGAAACCAGGGGCCGTGCTACAGTCACACACGTTACAAACACAGGTAGCAGGCAGGACACAGCGCAGGGGCAACAGTTTGCTAAACCTTGTTCTAGAAGGTAACATTGTGATATCAATGCTTTCAAAAAACCTTCCATAAACGTGACAATAAGATTCACAGGTCATTTAAACTTAAGAATTAGATGTTTCTTGTAATTCAGCAAAGTGTATATCTGTTAAATCTAAAACTGATGATCTGTTCCATAAACCTTTACTCAATTCACAATAAATAAAAAGTTTAAAGAATTAGATGTTTCTGGAAAATGTAACACATCTAACCAAATTTAATTAGAATAATCATATCATTTCAGTCACATATTAATATGTATATAACAGCCTAATCCAAAATCACAGGCACCAAATTCCAGTTATATTTCTAGTATGAGACTAAAATACTAACACATACCATGACATATTTATTTCAAGGCATTCAACTAATAACTCTCATGTATTAATAAAACATAAATGAATGGCAAAGTAACACCTTATAAAAGAAACAAAGAGCATTACTACTTTATTTAAAATACTGCTTTTTCTCTCCAAAAGCCAAAAACCCCCTATCAGTCTTCTGACCTCTTGCTCTAGCGTATGCAGTTGATAGGGGTGTGAGGGCTTTGTAGAGATCATACACCATGCAGACTTTGGCCTCATCCTCACTGAGTGGAATTCCAACGGCAGCGCCTGGTGGAAAAAACCATGAAATAATAAACTCAAGTTACTTTTTGTCACCTCTATAATCAGGACAATATTTTTCTTAACATCTCGTCTTTGCAGCATAATACCTAGTGCCTGCCTGTGCTAAATTAAAAATCTGCCTAGCCAGACAATTAAGCACCAAAAATATAGTCTCAGGAAGTGGGGAGCTGGGCCAGACAAGGGAGGGGCACAAGACTATGCTCTGAAAATAGAACCACTGTCTGAAGCCTGAGCGCACCCGCCATGCGCATGAGGTTAGTTTACCTCATTAGTGACTCTCTCTGTCCTGCCTGGTATTCTCTCAGGCCGTTTATTTCTTCCCCATTCATGTCATTTTAATATGCTACAAACCTTTGGAAATCATTATGTGCTGAACTGTCAGCAGATCTGGGGATACAGATAACTAAGTTGTGGAGTTAACATTAACATAGAAACAAAAGGTATCACACACAATAAGTTCCGGGTAAAGTATCATAAGATCATCTGTACATCTATTCATTTGCATTTTCAATCATGACGAAAAACACGGACTTTATAGTCTTTCGGCATTAAGCTAGCTCACTTCCATTTCCTAAATGTTCATGTTTTCACTGCAAAACAATACTGCCTGATCTTTGTACCTCCCAATATTGTCACATCATTTTAGTACTACGTTATGTGTGTGTGTACGAATATATACACACACACACATATTTATTAAATTATGTCATCAGATTTTATCATACACTATATTGATACTGTTGCCAACAGACTTGACACAAATAGCTGTGACTTCATAGAGCATCTAAGCTACTCTTAACTGTCAAATTTCTAAAAATGTTAAAGAGAATGGCACAGTGCCTTACCTGCTGGACTGACATGTTTGAAAGAGGCAGCGGCTGGAATGGCTAAGGCTTCTTTGAGTTCCTTTACCAGCTGCCAGGCATTCAGGGCATCGCACAAGTTTATAAACCCAGGGGCTCCATTTAGAACTACATATAAAAATCCATACACGTATTATCAAGAAGGAACAAGGAGATCAGACATATGTGCATTTCTTAAAAAAAGAAGAACAAATCAAGATGGCCCAAGTCTTACAAAAGAAGCGGCACACACGCACACACATCCGCATACACATGCCCTACGGTGGAGCAAGCTAGCCCATCTAAAAGTTAAGCAATATAGACGACTACATGCTCAGACTTTCTCACAATCTATATTTTTAACTTTGAAAAGATTTTTCTAGGAGTTAATATTTCTTGTGATGAAATACTGATATGAAGCTCACCCCACAAAAATAATGGGTCACTAAATAAAAACAAAGACATTTATATTTTTCTTTCTTTGATGTGTTATCATGGATACTACTGTTATTAAGTGCCTTCGGATTCAATTCGATTCCGACTCACAACCACCCTGACAGGACTTCCAAGGAGCGGCTGGTAGGCTAGAACAGCCTACTTTGTGGTAGCAGCCCAGTGCGTATCCAACAGCATTACATCAGGAATAGTTTTTAAAGTAAAAACTGCCAAATATTTCCTGAGTATCTACAATGCTAGGCACCACCCTAGGTGCTTGGGATTTATTAGAATACATAACATTCCACGCTAGAAATGGCTGTCCTCAAAGACTTAAGTTCTAACATGGGGAGGCAGATAAGAACAAAATTGTAAATAAACAGCAAGACAAAAAAAAACCAGAAATAAGCAAAAGGTATCCAAAAGGGTATGGAAGAAATAAAACTCTATTTTCAGATGCGAGAGAAGCAAATCCAGGAGACTCAAAAAGTAAGCTACTGGAACTAATATTGTTGTTGTTAAGTGCCGTGGAGTTGGTTCTGACCCATAGTGACCCTGTATAGGGTTTTCGAGGAGCAGCTGGTGAGCTTCAACTGCTGACCTTGTGGTTCAAACCGACTTTGTAGTTTAGTGCATTAACCCACAGCACCACACCAGGACTTTCAGGAAATTGGTGAGGTACAAGGTCCACATCAAACATCTCTAAGATAAGTACTGGACTGCAGGTCACCAGGTCAGCAGGTCAAGCCCACCAGCTGCTCTTCAGGAGAAAGATGAGGCTTTCTGCTCCCAAAGAAACATATGGGCACTTAATAACAACACCACTGCCCAAAAGGGAAGCTGTATGGATGCTCCTTCTGCTCAGAAAACAAGTACAGTGTCTCTAAACAAGACATCCTTGTCAGTGTGCCCAAGGCTTCCTCTGACATGTTTTCCCACAAGCAGTACTTTAAATATTAAAAGAAAAGTAACAGGTACACCAAAATAAGAGACAATAAATAAAAACATTCACAGTGTTAATGAAAATGCTTTTGAAAACAAAAAGAAGGAAAAGGAAAGCTTTTTTGGCCTCAATCTAAAAAATTATGAGGAGGAGTACCTGAAAAAACACACACAATAAAGTGCTTTAGCTTTTAAAAGTAGACAACTGTGCAAGCTGTCAGGTTTCCAATTACTCAGTCATCAAACATGTAGGGAAAGTCAGCCTTAGCTTCTCCAACTTCTAAGCGGTATTTTGTATTTATTTCCTAACTGTAAGCACACCAAACACACACACACACACACACACACACACACACACACACACACACACACACACAGCAGGCACAGCAAAGGGCATCACAGAACACTCAGGCTTTACCTGTGATGGGAAGCTTGGGTCTCAGCGTGTATAACTGGGCAGGCGTTTGGTGAGGGTTCATTCCATACCTCAGGGGCATCTGAGATAGTCCTTTACTATACTGTCTCCTGAAGTAATCTGAAATTGCTTCATCATATTGTGCCGTATGAGTGAACGCCTGCAGCAAAGAGGTAAAGTTTTAGAAGATACTGGAAGCCTTTCCCAAGTGGAGGACACCAGAACAATTTTAGATCGTTCTGAGTAAACTGCACATAACACATAAGGCACCAAGTAACACTGGATGGCTTGGTGCATTATTCCCTTTTACTTTTCTTTCCATCTTTTTTTGACAGAATTCTCTCTAAAATTTGGTACCAAGGTAAGAGACAATGAATAAAAGTTCTTACATAGTATTAATGAAAATACTGTTGAAAACAAAAAGAAGGAAAAGTATGAGAAACTTTTAACAAAAGGAGGGCCGATTCAACAACACATACTCTAGCAAGAACAGAAAACCATTCGGATTGGCCAAACATGGCACTACAGGGCTGTCACTTTACAATGTATTTTCAGTGCGTCCCCACCTTTAAGGCTAACTGGCGTCTAGTCTCTAAGGAGGTGTCTTTGCTGTCAGAGCTCTGCATCTCCACCGACACCGCTGTGTAGTCCTCTGGGTCACACACGACCGTCACACGTGCGTGGTTTTTAGCTGCTGCTCTCAGTAAGGTGACCCCACCTTTGAAGAACAAATGAAGATTTGTATTTTCTTTTCCATTTATTAACCTCTTTCTGATAGTCATTGTGCACATATCTCCACTATAAATCTTAACTTTAAATAAAGAACAACACCACACACACACAAAAACTGACGTGAATCTTCACACATAAAAAGAGCCAATAAAGAAATAGCTTACAATACTGATGAACTAGAATCATTCTGGGACATAATCTACGACAAATAACTATTTTCTGTACCCTCAATACTGGAGATTTAAAAAATAAAGTCTCATTTAAAATTTAAGTAATCCTCTACACTTACAGTCTATTAAAATGGTTTTCCAGCTTACCAGTAGGAGCCCTGGTGGTGCAAATGATTCAATGCTTGACAGGTAATGGAAACGTTGGTAGGTCAAACACATGCAGCGGCTCAGGAGGCAAAAGAACTGCTGATCTCCTTTTGTAATGATCACAGCCAAGAAAACCCTACGGGGCAGCTCTGCTTTGTCACACAGGGTTGATGTGATATAACTCAGCACTTGACAATAACTTACCAATGTCAATTTGTTCAACGGCTGCCTCCACAGTAACGTCTGGAGAAGCCACAGTCTTCACAAATGGATACAGATTGCAGACAACAACTCTGAAACAGAGGGACTGAGCTTTCCTCAAGAACTCAACGTGGTTTACAGTTCTCAAGAACAATTCAGTCAGCAGCAGTTAACAGTAAACAACAACAAACATCTAAAAATATAAACCACGAGACAGATATTCCAGAATTCTAAAGCATTATGTTTAAAAGTCTGGACCTTCTATTATTGTCGAATATAGGTAAACAAAAGTAGTTTCAGATAGTAGGTACTTTCAACATATAAAATTGGATTCAAAAAGGTCAGGGAAAAATTAAACGATAATGGAATTTGTTGAATGTGGGATTGATGAGCTATTCTGTAAACCTCCACTTAATTCACAGTAAACAGTTAAAAAAAAAAGAGACAATGGAGTTTTTCCATGAACTTCTTGAAGTCCCTTGTATCATTCCCTCCAGTCAGCAATGTTAATGCCTGGGTAACCTTACAAGTCCTTAGCTGGTGCCAACAGTTAAAGTGCTTGGATACTAACCTGGAGATCAGAGGTTCGAATCCACCCAGCGGTGCCTTGTAAGAATGGCTCAGTGATCTATGTTCAGAAAATAAGTTCTACGGAGCACAATCTGCTCTGACACACATGGGTTCACACCATGAGCCAGAACTGATTCAAGGTCAGCTGGATTTTTGCTCTCAAGGTATCGAGTCTTTAGTTTCTTTGCATTTCTAACAGGAATATGGAATATAAGATTACAGAAAGTGATCAATTGCTATTTAGGGCACTCGATTTTGTACTCTTTCAAATGTACAACCTATGGATTGTGTATAACAATGAAAGACAACGGCACATTCTAGGATCAAGTATTTGGTTTCAGAAGGCTAAATAGCTAGGGTTTCCCCCTTCAGAGAGGTCATACAGAATGATAGTAACAAGAGTCCAAGTGAACAATAAAAAATACAGAACAAATGTAACACTGAAAACCACCTAAGAGGAGTTCCATTTGCAGGACGACAGTAAGGGCTCTCTGAGGCTTCTCTGTAAAGTGAACTAAACTAGTCCAATTGAAAGACCAAGAGGAAACATTTCTGAAGAAACCTACTAATCCTGCCAAGAACAGGGAGAGTCTGTGGCACTTGAGGCACAAGCAGCTCCCCCCCGACACTTCATGTGTGGTGGCCACAAGGACAAAGCTCTTCCCTCAACTACCTAACAAGCGACAGCAATGTGAAGCTGCTAGCATTTTTCATGTCTCCCACTCAGAGTGGAAGAGGCATAATTCCTGCTTACTGGGGATGAGAGGCTGGTGGAGGTGGGAGGATGGTGAAAGAGGGAGGCTTACTTCCTCCACCCCGTTCCCACTCACGGGTCACAGTGTCTACTCCAGACCCTAGCTGCAGGTCAGTCTAGGGCAGAGGTTCCACAGCACGAGAGACCGCTAAGAATAAAGGCGACCATCCCCTCCAGCACTTGGAGCAGTGGCTCAGAGATTTTGTCCTGAGAAAGGATCCCCTCAACTTCCCCATCCAAAAACATCACTGCTGCCACACTGATCCCCAGTCACAGCAACCGTACAGTACGGAGTAGAATCACAGAGGTTCAGAGACAAAACCCTTAAGGGAGCAAACAGCCGGATCTTTCCCTGTGGAGCAGCTGGTTAGCAACCCAATGCTTAATCCACTGCACCACCATGGCTCCTTCCTGGGGAAAAGGCAGTGGTTAAAAACTGAGTTCCAAAGCTCTAGCATAAAGAAATGTATCAAAGGTTGAGCCTCGGGGGTACTCTTGATGCCGATGGAGATTTGGGGATGAAGAGCTCCTGGTATGGCGCTGCAAGATCAGTAATGGACTTTGAACTAAAAGGTTGGCAGTTCACACCAACTAAATGCTCCCCAAAAACCCTATACAGGGTCGCTATGAGTCAGATTTAACTCAATGGCACTTAGCAACAACACCAAAGCAAATAAGGAGGCTGGTGCTGTTGTTAAATGCTTTCAGAGTTGAATCAGTTAAGACCCATAGCGATCCCATAAAGGGTTTGCTCTGAGGGGACCCGAGCACTTGCCTTGATGTCTCCTGGGAGAGCAACTTGCTTGTTCTTGTAGTAATCAGTCGGTCTGCCTATATTGTTTTGTATTTTTCCTTTCGGTCTTTTTTTCAAGAAGTATTTTCTGTTCTTCTAGCGGCTCTAGGCTGGTCTGCTTGTCCTTTCAAGTAGAAATTTCCCACCTCAAAAGATTCTGGATGCTGTTCAGGATTCCACCTATGGTCTTATGTAATGCAGAGGCTCTGCAAAGCCTCCCTCACTGGGCACACTGTAGCCCCATTTTAGGTATTCCAATCAGTTACATGCAGAAGACGGACTTACAAGCTTTCTATGGTGATATTTCTGGCTATTCCTTTCTCTGCCCCCCTCAAGTGTCTATTTTATAATGGTATTCCAGGGAAACCAAGATTCATAAGACAGCCAAGCATCTTACCATTATCTCCCCCTTTCCCCATTCCAACCATGTCTCAATCTCTGTATCCCAGAGAAGCTAAGGGATTTTGCCAAAGCCAGCCCAGCAATGAAAAACATCCTAAAGGAAGTTCTGTGGACTGAGAACCAACAAGAACAGACAACAACAAGAGAATGACATACATGGCCGCATCACCCTGAACTCAATCAACAATTGGAAGAGTCATAAACAGAAAAAAAATTATAAGAACAGAGGATCTGGGAGATCAGTCTATGATCAAAACAATTACAATGTGAAAGAAGGTAAACATAGAAGAACGGAGATACAGGTGGTGAGAAAGTCATGAAGATTACAGGATAAAATAGACTGTCTTAAATGGAGGGAAGAGTTAATGGTTATCAGGTAACCACACAGTGGGGTTGGGGAGAGGGGTTTAGTTCTGGTGTGGGGGAGGGTAAAACAAGAAGGGGAAGGAAGTGAAAGAACAAGATAGATAGGGGAACAGTGAGACAAGTTTGCATGGCCTAAGTGGGACAAAGGTAAATAGTGATGCATGCTCAACTTTGGAACAACAGGGCTCTATGATACAGCATAGTTTGAAGTGGGGAAATAATACTAAAATGCTCGACTGTCTTATAAATATTGGTTTCCCTTGCCTACTATTAGAAAATAGACACTTGAGTAGGATTGAAAGATATGTTGGGAAACATGATTACAGAAAACTTGCAAGCCCATCTTCAGCCTAACTGATTGGAATACCTAAAAGGGGTTCTAGAACTTGCCCAATGACACAGGCCCCTTGCAATGCCTTTGCAGAGTATAGGGTCTTAGGTGGAATCCTGAGTCTCATCCAGAACCTTCTGAGCTGGGACACATTCCCAATAGCAAGGACAAGCAGTCCCGCCTGGAACAACTAGAGCAACAGAAGATACATCTTCAAAGAAAAGATCATCAGGAAAAACCCAACACAAAAATATCAACATGATTGGCTGTAAGAATAAGCAAGCTGTTCTCCAGGAAGCCAGCAAGGCAAGCAATCAAGTTCCTTCAGGACAAACTCCCCTCTAAGACTGAAACTCAAAGGAAACACATGAACAGGCATATACGCTTGCTGGCGACCACACTGGTCTAGTGGTGAGTGCAAGAGAGAGAAAGGCATCAGTGAAGGGCTGAAGTTTTTCGATAAAGGAAACAAGGGTAAATTGCTACAATTTGATGAACCTGATCTATACTCATGGAGTCAGTCACTCTAAATATCAACAGAGGGAGTCTTCACATCAAGTATCAATGCTAACCCCTCTATACACACGGCAGATAGGGAAGGGCAAGCGACTGTCACAACTGTAAAGGTAGAAGTTTTGTAACAAAAACAGCAGAGTTGTTAATCTTACAGTCCAGAAACACAGGACCCTTGGACCATCAAGGGAGAAGAGCACAGGCGGAATGCGAGACCTCATCCAGAGAAGCAGCAACACCAGAGATAGAGGCAGAAATGGGGTCATGGAGATGGGGCGCAGCTGAGGACTCTAGAGTCATGTGAAGAGAGGGACTAAGAGCTGGTGGCCAGGAGGCAGACTTGCATACTGCGCCCTTTAGAGGTGTAAATTATTATATGTGCCTAGAGTATTTTTTGTTTTGTTTATTTGATAAAAAAGTGAATAGAGAGAAATACTGTTAACTGATGGTACATGGAGGGATTATAATCATTGCAATGAAATAAGGTGTATGAATTGTTGAATGTAAAACTGATGATCTGCCCTGTAAACTTTCACTCCTTCACTCAATGCACAATAAAAACCTAAAACAAAAGGAATCTCTGGATGGTGAAAATAGTTGTTTGATTAGTAACCAAAAAACTGGCTGTTTGAACCCAATCAGAGGCACCTCAGAAGGAAGGCTTGGTGATTTGGACACTCTATGAGTCAGAACAGAGTCAGTGGTGACTGGCTTAACAGAGACCAGGGGAAGAGACGAAGAGAGAACTGGTAAAGGCCACCCCACAGTGGTTGTGAACAAGCCCAAGGATATGGTCTCTGAGGAGAATCACCAAAGGCTTCACACTGTGTGGGAAACAGACTTCACTCAAAAGGACAGTAAAGTCACTACACAAGTAAACAGAAAGTGCACCAGAGGAGAGGAGAGGAGAGGAGGGAGTCAGTATCCAGTATTTACAATGTCCCAATTCTCAGCAAAAAATTACAAGATATACAAACAACGAATGACAGGCAAAAGAAATGATGGCAGGTCCAGAGTCCAAATTAACAGAATCCCAAGCAATCATCATAAAGGATTTGAAGAACTGAAGGGACCCATACTTAAGGTAAAGGAAGCAGGGGGACTGAAGAGAGAGAGCTGCCAAAATACCTATTTGTGTCTGCAGCCAGACACACCTAGCTTGTGTTTAGTACAAGCTCTTATTTCAGTAATATGGACTTAGCAAAACCCCAATGTTAATACATGTGCCATGGCATACAGAAGGTACTCGATACACGTTTTCAGTAAGTGACAAGAAACTCAAATTAATGCTGATCTTGGACTGTAAATGAGAGACACCAGGTTTAACATGAATGTTGTCTTTGGTCCTCAAAAATGTCAAGATAAAATGTCAGGATATCGATTTCAAATTTTTACCTTATAAGATTGAAATCAAGTCTGCTCATGTCAGCATTATCTTCTGGGATATTACGAGCCAAGATTCCTAGTTTCACAAATATAAAAACAGTATTAGGTTGAAAAACAAGCCAGAAATAGGTACTTCAGCTACCCAATACTCTCATTAATCAAGTCAAAAAGCCACAAACATGACATAAATAAGACGGTCAAACAGAAAACTAAGGAATTAGAGGCTGTATATTTGGAAACTTTTGGCATCTGTTCCAGAGGTCCTTTTTCTTGAGGAACAAAATACAAAAACGATACATGGAATTTTCATATAATTATCAGTTCCATTACAGTCCACAGGCTCCTTAAAGTCAGTGGCTTATCTAATGATTCGGAGCCTTACAACCTTTCATAATACAACTGACAAGTTCACAACACACTCATTTCTTGCCATTTTCGTTTATGTGTCATTCGCTGTCTCAGATGAATGGACAAATGTAAAACCATTCTTTGGAAAGTGTTACACTGTGATGCATTATGGTGTATCTGAATGGCCAAAAAAGTCTTTCAATATTAGAAAATCTAAATATGTTGAATAACTGCTGTGGGAAATATCACATTGTAATTATCAAAAGTCAGGATTAACAGCAAGCACAGGAAAATAATCTGAATCCACCGTGTAGTAAAGTCAGTTTAAATCGGTATGGATTTATTATGAACTGTGCGCCAGCAAATCTGATAAAACTATGATCACCTCACAGATAAATTTCTGCCGAGCTTGTGACCCATTTTCCCTTCTATGAAGCAATCTACTAAAATCTGCCTGCAGACCACTGGCAGCTTTAAACACGGAAGTATCAACACCTTACCTGCGTGCACAGCAGGGTGCAGGGTTTTCACACGGCCCCCAAGCATTTCAGGAAATCCTGTCAGCTCTGAGACATCGCTGAAAACAAAGAGAAAGTTAGTCCCTTTTCTTGCTGAGCTGGCGTTTTATACCATATCAAAACACCTTCGAACATCTAATGTTCTCACTGAGGGTTTTTTCCCCCAGACCCTGAATTGAACCAAAAAAATTCCAGTTTAAGTCTTTCACTAAGATCCCCCCAATTCCACTTTGCTTTAAAAAAAAAACCCAAAACACTATCATATTTTCTAACTGATGTATGTTCTGAGAAAATCAGTTAGTGATTAATAGAGTAATTATTTTACAATTTTCAGAGAAATAATAAATCATATCATAAGCCATACAAACATTCAGAAATAAATTCAACTGAGAAGAAAATTGGTAACAAGCCAACAAAAGCATTAACCTAACCAATTCTCAGCTGCCAAGTCAATTCTGACTTCAGTGACCCTGTAAGGAAAGAGCAGGACTGGCCCACAGGGTGTCCAAGGCTGTAAATCAGGCTTTTGATTGGCGATTAAGTGCTTTAACCACCACACCACCAGGGACTCTATTAACTAAAAGGCATTAAACTGTGTTACCTCAGAAACAGACCAAAAGATAATTTAATTTTATAATAAATAAAAAAAGATGTGGTAAATCCAATGAATGAGGAACTACGTTTACCAAAATGGTGCTGGAATATCTGGTTAAGACCACAAAACTTCCTGATGGATCAAAGGCATTAAAAAGGCCACAGAAACCCTGAGACTTCAGTCCTTGCTCAGCTTTCCAGTCTGAAACGGAATCCACCCCAGTGGTTGAATACTCAGCCAAGCAAGTGTGGCTGTTAAATGCCATCAAGTCGGTTCTGACTCTTAACAACCCTATGTAGGGTTCCCAAGGCTGTATGTAAATCTTTCAGGCAGCAGAAAGCCTCATCTTTATCCCATGAAATAGCTGCTGGGCTTGAACTGCCGATCCTGTGGTTCCTAGTCCAGTGATTGTTACACAGATGGGGCAACAAGACCAGATAGCTACGCACACCACAGAACTATCAACCATCTGAGATTAAGAGGGCAGCAGTTACCCAAAGACTAAGTTCAGAAGGCTTGGGAAGGCAGGACGAATGGAAACAAAAACCAGAGAGGAAGTGGACGAGTTGTGTCACACTGGGGACTCCAAGTGTATGTACGGTTTCTTCAAAAACTGACAATCTGCTCTGTACACTTTCACTCAAGTCACAATAAAAAGTTAACAAAAGATATTACAAGATTAAAGAAATACTAAAATTAAGTATGTGAGGAATGCTTTCCTAACAGCAAACAACATATTGAGAGTGTTGTTGTTAAGTGCTATATTTTAGGTGTTTTGTCCTCTTTCTGACTTTCTGTCTGATTAATCTCTTTGCTGTTGTTATTAAGTGCTGTTGAGTCACTTCTGACTCACAGCAACCCTGTATAGGGTTTCCAAGGAGTGGCTGGAAAGAGTTTGAACCACCGACCGTGTGGTTCGAAGCCCAGGGCTGATCTTACAGCACCACACCAGGAGTCCATAGTAGAGCTACATAAAAGTTACAAACCTGAGAAAATAAGAAACTGAAAATAAAAATTACAAAATAAAGCAAAAAAGTAAAAAGACAGTATTTAAATATTGATCCAAATCACCATATTGACCTCAGAAATCAATAGCCATAAAGCCTTTCACTGGCAGAATGAAACAAATAAATGTTAATGATGTGGAAAACTGCTCCTGATCTGTAAATGGAAAAAAGCAGGACGCAAAACTACACTCTACATAAGCTATAAAATAAACTATATGTTTATATCTTAGAAGCACTGAAAGGAAATACATCAAATATAAGCAGAATTTGTAAGCCATTTTTACTCTAGTCTTTAGTTTTCCACATTTCTCAAATTTCCTACAACAGGTACACCTATTTCTCACTTATCAACATGGCTAAGCTGTTACATGTAAATCAGAATGAGAAACTAGAGGCGACCATGTTTTTGTTAAGAGCCAGTTTGGATGCATAGTGAACACATATAGGGTTTCTATGGAGTGGCTGGTGGGTTTGAACCACCAGCCTTTCAGTTAGCAGTTGAGTACTTATCTATCCTACAGCACCACACCAGGACTTGAGGAGACCACAACAAATAAATTGGGAAAATAACTAAATTCTTGCACAACTGCTACACCACTGAGCACCAGGGCCCAGCCAAGTTGACACACAACTTTAACCTCACAGCCAGTGTTCCTCTCACCTCACACCTGTTTGTTATCAGACTATTGTCACAAAACAGATGGGCACACTTTCCACCATTTTTGTCATTGCAAAATGTCAGATAGTGAGAGTTACTAAAGAGTAAGTGTGTATTGCCTTTACCTTACGAAAGCAATACACATTTGTAAAGCAGCCAATTCTGCCAATGGAATAGTTTCCCTTGAATGTTGTTAGTTTCTGTTTAGTCGGTTCCGACCCATAGCGACCCTGTATAGGATTTCTGAGGAGCAGTTGGTGAGCTGGAACCGCCGACCTTGCAGTTCTAACAGCTTTGCAGTCTGGCAGGTTAGCCCACAGCATCACACCAGGCCTGTTCCCTTTGCGGACACTCTTTTTACAGAGGGCCATTTGAAGATGGTTGGTTGGCCCGACATGCAGTTCCAATATAAACGGACAGAACTGAGGATATTAGTTTCAAATTCAAAATTCCTTTTTCCAGAACTCAGGATAAAATTCCATTTCTCCAATTGAGGACAATCACTTAAAAACATAGGGAAGGCAGAATTTAACCTTTGAGGGTAATTATAAAGTTTTCTATACTTTCATGCTTAAGAATTTGCAGTTAGTAGCTGCAATCTTTGCAAAGAATGCACTGGTATTGACTCAGCGTTTAAACTTCCATTACTTTATCTCGCCTCATGTAAGGCAGTAATTAATTTTCTGGGACAAAATCTTGGCTCTATCTCTAGCTACTATGTGATCCTAAATTTCTTTGTGCCTCAGTTTCCTTATTAAATAGGAATAATACTACCTAAGTACTTCCGAGTTATCTTAAGGATTCTATCAGTTAATTGTTGTTAAGTGCTGTTAAGTCAGTTCTGATCCATAGCGTCCCTATATAGGGTTTCTGAGAAATGGCTGGTGGGTTTGAACCACCAACCTTGCTGTTCAAACTGACTTTGCGGTCCAGCGCATTATCTTGCAGCACCACATAAAAAAATGCCTTTCCAACTTAGTTATATTATTCAATGAATATTTATTGTGCTAGGCTCTAGATGGAAGCACTCGTGAACACTCTTCAATTTTAATATTGAGAGAAACACATTTCCACTCCCAATTAAAAAAAAAAAAATGCCTTAATAGAGAGTGGGGGGAATGAGTCAGTTGATAACTTCAAACTATTTTATGGGTACATCGTGTAAGGATTCATTACTTGTGACCACAGGAGAAATGTTTCCAAAATACATCTGAGGAGGGGAAGAGAGGCCACAGAAAAGAACCTTGGCTAATCCTTTCATGACCCAATTACTTTCTGATTTGAATTTGTTTTCGTTACCATGTGTGTCACGGCGAATTACTTGGTGCTGCTAAATGCCACTGAGTTGGTTCTGATTCATAGTGACCCCGGATAGGGTTTCTGTGGAGCGGCTGGTGAGCTTGAACTACTGACCTTCTAATCACTCTTTGATTCAACCAAATAGATTGGGTGAGACCATGCAAAGAGGATGTACAGAACTCTACCACAGGGACTGGTGGGTTTTGCCACTCCATTGGATTTAAAATGAGCCATCTCAGAAGCAGGAACAGAACATCCCAGGACCATCAACAAAACAAGAGTCACTGGTGGAGCACGAAATTCTTAAGTGGAAATGCAAAGGCGATGGCAGCTGCAGCACTGAGAGAGAGGGCTGCCCGGCCTACAGACGGACGGAGCACAGCTGCTAGCAGGAACCGGCTGTTCTCTGGGCTTTAGTCACAGGCTTAAAGGAGCCTGAGCTGGGCAGAAGCCAAGGGGCCGTGTGGCTGAGAGGTGTGCCCATGATAGGAGTGAGAAAATGCACTGATCGTCAGTGGTGCCATTATTAACTTCTGTAATCAACCTCAGAGTCACGAGTGTTGTCTCTGAGTTCTCAAACCCAGCAGAAGAGTAGAGTCCTCATAGGAGGGATGGCTGGTGTCAGGCTAGGATAAAGGGGTGGAGGCACGTCTGACCTCCGACTCACAGGAATCAGCCTGGGGCTGGAAGTCAGATAGCCCCCCCCCACTCCATAATCACACCATGTGTTTTCACTAATGGAAAATATGCTAAATAAAGGTACAGTTCGGAAATGTTATTATGAAATATGAATTCTGATATATATTATGTGGGTCACATATGTCCCACTGAACTCTGTACTGCCTTCTAAATACCTACCTTGAGTAGTGGATGCAGTTTTGTTGCTGTTATATGCCATGGAGTTGGACCTGTATAGGGTTTCCGAGGAGCGGCTGGTGAGCTTGAACCGCCACCCTTCTGGTTCAAACTGACCTTGCAGTCCAGCACATTAACCCACAGAGCCATATTGTGTGGACATGGAATCAGTGAGAAAGGCAATCTCCAAACAATGCACAGGAACCCAGAGCTCTGGTAGCACAGTCATCATGAATCGGGCTGCTAGCAGTTCGAAACTAACAGCTGTTCCGTGGGAGAAAGATGAAGCTTTCTGCTCCCGTAAAGATTTACAGCCCCAGAAACCCTGTACAGGGCCGCTGAGTCGGAATCAACTCTAAGGCACATAACAACAACATGTCCCAATAAAAAAGCCGAGACAAAAGCTTTGCAAAATCACACCTACAGAACGCAGCACCTCATAAAAAACACAGTAATTTGCGGCATATATTCATTTCTTCCACAAAAACAGTTACACAAGTGTCCTGAAGGTTAGCTGCATGGTCAGTGGGAAAGCTACTGCCCAATAAACTCCAGAGAAGGAAAATGTAAGTGGGCACGACAGGACCCACTGGTCATAAGATTCATTTAAAGAGGCCCAACCACTATATGAGTGACCCAACAGAAAGGATTAGGGCCTGGATTTTACATTCTCCCCCAATGATATTCAGAATAGCATCACAGGATTCTCATAAAGAGCACACAGAAAAGACAGGTGAAAGGCCTTGCATTAATTTAATAAACCCCACATTCTGAGCATCTGAACCGCAGACTAGTTTATAAGTACTGTCCACTTGCTCAGCAGCAGCCACTCCTCTGAAATTCATACAGGGTGACAAAGGATGAGAGCTGACTGGAACGTACTTTAACAACAACATGAACCTGTGCAGTCCTAGTATGGTGCTATAGGATAAAACACTGAACCACAGGCCAATCTGAACTGCAAGGTCTGTGGTTCAAACTCACCAGCCACTCCTTAGAAACCCAATAGAGGATTCATTATAAGTTGGAACCCTCAATGGCCCTCAACAATAGCAAATCACAAGGTTGGCAGTTCAAACCTACCAACAGCTCTTTGGAAACCACATATGGGGTTGCTATAAATTAGAACGGATCCCAGTGACACTTAACATGGACCTTTAAGGTAAACAGCAAAACTTCCAATAAGGCAAGAGGCACACAGATCCCTCATTGCTTTTTTGAAATATACTTTAGGGGTGGGTGTGTCTTCTGTGAACTCTGGCTGAGGTTGAGTATTGCTGCCTTGGGCACTTTTCATTTTCTACTATTTAAGTGCAAGAATGGTATCCTGATTTGTCTTTTGCACATTGCCTCTTACCAGTACCTGTTGTTGCTTTTTGACATTGAATCAATTCCAATTTATAGTGACCCAGTGTTGCATTGGTGGGTAAGCAATGGACTGCTAACAGCATGGTCAACAGTTCAAACCCACGAGAACCTCCTCAAGAAACCCTAGACAAGATTGCTATGAGTGTAGATTGACTTTATGGCAATTGACATGGGTCATGGTGGCGCAGTAGGATAAGCACTGGATGGCTAACCACAAGGTCAACAGTTCAAACCCACCAGTTGCTTTGATGAGAACACAGGCTTTCTGCTCTTATGAAGATTTACAGCCTCAGAGAGCTTATACTGAGTTGCAAAGTCGGAATCAACTTGAAAGCATTGGGTTGATGTTTCTGCGTTCACAGGGCAGGATGGAACTGCTTCACAGAACAACCATCAGGAAAATTCTATCACCAAGACCCTACTGCCCCCTTTTCCTCTTCTATAAACTGGATAGTGTAAAGAATGACTGACTCTCTAAACTGACTGGATTCAACTTAACAATTAACTTGTCCCTTACCGTACAGCTAGGCCGGCATCCCTCAGAGCTTTTGCAGTCCCTCCAGAAGCAACCAGATTCAAACCTGCACAAGTTAGGTTTCTGGCAAATTCCACGAGGCCGGATTTGTCCGAGACACTAAATAAAGCTGAAAGAAAACACAATGTTTCTCATCACTCAAACTCCATTGCACGACGTTCCCAAAGGTCTAGGAAGGGGCTGCGGGCGGGGTTGGCGTTCTCAGGAGTCTGGGGAATGTGGGCCGTGCAAGCTTCGGCCCACATTCCACAGGCAGGCGGTCTGGGCCTCCCCAAGGTCCCGCAACCTAGGACTGGCGGGGGCGGATGGACAGCGCGGTGCGGGTGGGCCCAGACTGAGCCAGGAGCCAAGAATGGCGCCCCAGTCTCCAGGCCCCGCCGTTCCCGCCCAGCCGCCGCCATTGACGGAGGGGCCTGCGGGGCCCGGGAGGCCGCTCCACAGGGACGCGCGGGGCTCACCGAGCTGGCCGGGCGCCATGGCTGCAGGCGGAGGGTCAGGGACCCGGGGGAAGCAGTAGCTGTAGACGCGCACGTGCACAGGGAAGCGTGCAGCCCAGACGGTCCCGCTCTGGAAACCGGAAAAGCTGGGAGATCACCTGACGGGTCACGTGAAGGGTCGGCCCCACCCCATGTTCCGCCCTGCTCAGTTTCAAGCTGGAAATCCGCTGCTCCTAGGCAAAGAGGGTTCGCGGCGTGGGTGGGGCTGAGCTGCTTGCTCTGGGGTCAGCTTTGCCCTCTACCAGGACCTGTCACGCCTGCAGCCCCTCCCCAGAGGCTGGAATGTAGATAAAGTCTAAAAAGAGATACAGAAACCAGAAACAGGGCGGTGGCAATCATGTACCACCCTCCCGTTTTACTAGGTTAAAAAAAATAATAATAAAAAGGCTTACAAAGGAATTGACAGTTCCGTATTAAAGACGAAACGATGTAAAATCTGTTTAAAGATTGTGCCTCCTTTACAAATTTGTAAATATTTTTGTCAAACCTGTTTGAAAGAGAAGAACAGTTAAGGGAGACATGGGGGGAGTGATATTTTTCTTAGTTTTTTTAAAAACAGGAAAAATAAAATTGAATGCTTTCGTGTCTTTGGGGGAAATTACAGTACTGTTAGGATAAACACTTCACTGCTAACCTCAAGGTCTGCAGTTTAAACCCACCAGCCGCATCTCGGAAACCCTGTACAGAGTCACTGTATACCATTCAACAACAACACACATATTGCTGTCTAGTGGAGGCTTTATGATGTTCCTTATTAAGAATTGTTGTTGTTGCTAAGTACCACGGAGTCGGTTCCGACTCATAGTGGCCCTGCACAGGGTTTACGAGGCTGTAAATCTTTGTTGTTGTTGTTGTTAAGTGCCGTCGAGTCGATTCCGACCCATAGCGACCCTGAAC